TCTCTTAACCATAAAATTCATTCTCTCAACCATTATATCCATTCTCTTAACCCTTATAACCATTTTCTCAATCTGTCAACCATTATTTTCATTCTCTCATCTCTCTACCAGTAAAATCTATTCCCTCAACCATTATTTTCATTTTCTTAACCATTATATATTCTCTCGGAACCATTATATTCATTATTTCATCTTTTATATTCATGCTCTCAAACATAATATCCATTATCTCAACAATTATAGCAATTCCCTCAACCATTATCTACATTCTCTCAACCATTATTTCCATTCTCCCAACCATATATTAATTCTCGCAACAGTTATATTCATTATCTAAACCATTATATTTATTCTCTCAACCATTATATTGGTTCTCCTAACCATTATATTCATTCTCTCAACAATTATATTCAATTTCTGAACCATTATATCAATTCTCTCAACCATTATATCCATTCTCTCAACCATTACATTCATTCTCTCAACCATTATATTCATTCTCTCCACCAATATATCAATTCTTTCTACCATTATATACATTCTCTCAACCAGTATATTCATTCTTTCAACCATTATATTGGTACTCTCAACCATTATATTCATTCTATAAACCATTATATCAATTCTCTCAACCATTATATCCATTCTCTCAACCATTATCTACATTCTCTAAACCATTATAACAATTCTCTCAACCATATATATATATATACATTCTCTCAACGGTTATATTCATTCTTTCAACCATTAAATTGGTTCTCTCAACCATTATATTCATTCTTACAAACAATATATCCATTATCTCAACCATTATATAAATTCTCTCAACCATTATATTTATTGTCTCAACCATTATATCCATTCTCTCGACCAATTTATATATTCTCTTAACCATTATATTCATTCTCTCAACCATTGTATTCATTCTCTCAACCATTATATTCATTCTCTCAACCATTATATTCATTCTCTCAACCATTGTATCCTTACCACCACAGTATTCCCAACAGGTGATAACCCAGGTCCTCGCCACCACTATTTTGCAGAAAGATGATAACCCATGTCTGTGCCACGACTTTTTTGCTGACAGGTTATAACCATTGTCAGTGCCACGTTCATATTGCTGAAAGGTGATAACCATTGTCCTTACCACCACTGTATTGCTGACAGGTGATAACCCTGGTCCGTACTGCCACCGTATTGCTGACATGTGATAAACCAGGTCCTTATTGCCACCGTATTGCTGACAGGTGATAATCCGTGCCAGTACCACCACTGTATTGCTGACAGGTGATAACTCAGGACCGTACTGCCACCGTATTGCGGACAGGTGATAACCCATGTCAGTACCACCACTGTGTTTTTGACAGGCGATAACCCAGGACCGTACTGCAACCTTATTGCTGAGAGGTGATAACCCAGGACCGTACTGCCACCGTATTGCTGACAGTTGATAACCCAGGTCCGTACAGCCACTATCTTGCTAAAAGGCGGATAACCCATGTCGCAGGCAGGCTCGCTATAATATGAGAGTTGTCCTATTCATATCTATATGAGACTCTTCCGAACTTAAGGACATCGCCTCAAGGTCAAGAAGTCGATAACATCGCTTGATCCCATTAACCCACACAATCCAGGATAAAATTAAACATACAAACTCCGTTCTGCTGTGCTAGCACTAATTCTATATGTGTTCTATTTTAATTTGTCCATGAAAAAATTCAATAAATGTGACGAACTTCTTTAATTTTAAATGTTATGCCAATCAATAACTGTATCTAAGACATTGTCGAAGAAAGCTGCCTGGTTTAACAACATGTCATGCGATATAAAACAGGGCAGTGTGAAATACATGTTACATGTTTTTAATAATTGTAACGCGCTTAGAGCTTTAAGGTAAGCGCTATATAAAAAATGCCTAAATAGATAAATAAATACATAAATAAGGGGGGACTAGGGTAGCATTCGCCCCGGGCGCCACCATTAGGGTGACGACAAAACAGCTTTTAGTTAGGAAATATATAATGAATTGAACGATCAAATGTCATATGCTCCACAAAGACATTGGGCGCTAAAATATTTTTTTCATTTAGTCAGCCCAGGATGGAAATTTTTTCTATACATAAGTCTGGGTGCCATTTTCATTCTACGCCCCCGGCGCTGATTTTCCACTGCCTGGTACTTGATACTTTAAACGTATGGCTTTAAAATAGAGAGGAAAGAATTTCTTCCTTAAAACGAGATCTGAATGACCAACGACATACTTAAATTCCAATCCAAATCTTGGCTGACTGAGGGTCATCGTTGAAACCTGGTTTTATAGCTTAAGAAGCAGAAAGGGCATTGAATTGGTCAGACGGTCAGCAGATGGTGAGATGAGGAGACGATGAGACGGTCAGACTTCCCTTCCAAGAAAGTTGCGAAATGTGTTTCTTTGCCAGAAACAGCGATGGCCAAAAAAAAACTGCTAAACAAAAACAATAAAAGTGGCACGAAATCTAGAACACAACATCACACCGGACTGGTCAGAGGTGTGTTGGAAGTACATCCGGCAATTTACGGGGGGGGGGGGGGGGGTGGGGTTATTTTCCCAAAGGGGGTCGCCACATTCAGGAATGGGGGGGGGGGGGGGGGGGGGGGTGGGGGATGAGCCCCGAAAACAAAAACCCATAAAAAATTTTAAAANTGATAGCACGCCTCTGCCAAAGCAGTTACCGTATCCGTTCAGTTTGGTTTCTGGTGCAAGAGCATCTTTGGGGAGGGGTAGCCGAAAAAAAAAATAGTGTCAAGCCACATTTTATTGTTGAGAAATCTCGTGAGAGCGCAGGAGAAGCAGCATCTCGGAAAATGGGGGAGGTCGCAAAAAAAAAAAAGCTAAGAAGCTGTATGGCTTGACCGGTAGCGGTAAGTTATGTCAAGCACAACAGAGTAAACATTTAGGAAACCTGGGTGGGAAATGAAAAAATCGGATACTCTCTCTTCCGTCTTTCTGTCGTTTGCGCGGGCGAGGTGCCACAGGGTGTCTCGGTATAATTACTAACGACAATAAGGAAACCAAAAATAACTTGATGTATAGCTATTTGGGGAAAAAGTAAAGCTATCCATGCCAACACCAAAAGGGATCAAATTTGGATTAAAAATATAGTTTAGAAACGTCAGGTAACAGCTGCGATTTGTGGAATCATAATGAAGTGACTGAAAAGTATCTGGGTCGGAATAATCGAGATAGGTTACTATATGTATCACGGTCAGGGTTTCTTTTAGCTAGATCTCGAGGGGGGTGGGGAGAAAGCCAAGTGCTCCCCCCCCGGAGCAAAAATATGTCCAACAATAAATCAACTGGCACTGCCCCCCCCCAACCGAAAAAATCAGAAGTGCCCCCACGGTGGAAAATTTCTTAAATAATCACTGATTACAGTTGGGACTGGAGCGATGTTGATGTTCACGTGACCAGCGGCGGTGAAGTCAGCGATGTGACGAAAACTGCAACCCACGCTTTGAAGCGTGCAAAGCAGTTACAAATAAAACAGTTACAAATAAAACAGTTACAAATAAAACAGTCACAAATAAAACAGTCACAAATAAAACAGTCACAAATAAAACAGTCACAAATAAAACAGTCACAAATAAAACAGTCACAAATAAAACAGTCACAAATAAAACAGTCACAAATAAAAATGTCACAAATAAAACAGTCACAAATAAAACAGTTACAAATAAAAGAAAAATAAAAATCAACCAAGGTTTAGCGTGCAGTATTTAAGTACCGAGATGACGTCACGACTGTCCTCGCTTTGTTTTTATTACCAATTTGCCAATAGATTTTGTTAAATGACTAGCCAAGGACATCGATTGTTTTTGCTTGGGTGAATTATAGTATCAATGGCCTGATCAATAAGAGAAATGATGAACTTGGACTAAGGTTTTCAGTAGCATACAGGAACTTAACAGAAAAAAGGGGGTGGGTGTAAGTCTCTCACTCTTTTTCTCTCCTTATCTCACACTTTATCTGTCTTTTACTCTCTCTCAATCTCTCCCTAATTATTTGCCAAGAGCATTAATGTTTATGTATAAGAAAAAGCAAACGTTTGCTCTTCTCAAAACAACATATGGGCTGTTTGCAATTATTCTGAAAACGTTTCACAACAACCAACCCCCCCACACACACACCAAATCCTTTGTTTTAAGTCAATAAATTATTATTTTTTTGGGTTGGGAGGGGGCGGGGGGAGGGGGGGCTTTACAAACGTGAGTATTCAACCTTTTTTTTTTTCATTGCGTTTTAATCCCAGAAATGTTGACCCAGACTAGAAGCAGCCCTATTGGTTATAACTTGGTCTTGTTTGAAATATGATTTGTAACTTAAACATGGCTCGAGATATAGTTACATCTCTCATTAAAGTAATGTTTGGTCTGAACTGTTCAGAAATAAAAACAAATAAGAACAAAACACTTATCATACTCTATTTATTTAAAACATTGGTTCACTGAAATATGTAAATCTCTTTCCGAAATCCTTATGCTTAAGAGATGCTTCCCAAGAAACGATTCCATGTTATATGATTTGAATTTTTTCCGTCAGGTTCTAACCAAGCTAATTTTTTTTTTTGCTGTCTTATTTTTTTAATGTAATTTTTTTTTTTTTTTTTTTTTTTTTATGGTTTTAAAAAAAAATTTTTTTTTTTTTTTTTTATTTTTTTTTTTTTCTGGGATTTTCCCTTTTTCCTTTTTTTTTTTTTTTTTTTTTTTTTTTGTTTTTTACCAATTTTTTTTTTTTTTTTTTTTTTTTTTTTTTTTAAATTAATTTTTTTTTTTTTTTTTTTTTTTTGAAGGCTTTAAACAACAAATGTCTGCTATTTTGTTTAATTTTTTTTTCTCCCGGGAGTTTCCCCTTTTCCCGATGCTTTATATTTGTTATTTCATTTACAACTACCAGGTTTACCTTTAAAAATACATCGGCAGTTTTAATAAAAAATGTTATCATAAAGCGGCAGGGGCATTTCACAGACGTAGCCATAAGTTGACGAACATTGGACGTCGTTGAGCATCCCAGTTTTAAAATAGTAATGGACACAGTGTTCTAGTCCTTGGGAGTTGTTGGGCTCCCCCAGGGCAAAGACAGACTTCAAGGTTTCTTTCGTCACCGGTGAAGAATCAAGTTTCCACGTGAAGGATCCTTGCTTTTCCATATCGTCGGCTCCGACCCAGGCAATGTTTGCACCAACCAGATTTCTCACGATTGTCAGCTTGTCAAAGGTTTTCACGGATGCGAGAACGGCTCCTTTGGCCTGGCACGTGGCCTGCGCCTGCGGGTAATTCAGCCATACGACCTGGAAGTTGGCGAGGCATGCAAGAGCCGAGCCGCTAAACATCAGGCGGAAACCCTTGCTGCTATCGCACGTGACCTTGTAGTAGAGATCCCCTTCCTGTGAGGTCGGTGGCGCTGCTATGTTGTACACAGTGGATGCTGGTGTACATAGGTGGGTTGTCCTGTTGTACAGGAAACTCCAACAGCCGGTGTACTGTTGCATGCAGGAAAGGCCGCATGAAACGGAAGATGATTCAATCCAGCCAGGACCGAGTCTTGCTGGGGCAAAGTCTGGAGTAGGAGCGATTTTGAAGTGATGCATGCCTTTACTTATCACTGGAAATGGAGTCGTTTGTCCAGCCACATCAAATAGTTGATCTGTTGTTGTTTTTTTTTAAATTAAAGAGTCAATATTTTTATGAAGCTTAGATGTAAACAGAAACAAAAGCTGATCAGAAAATTATTTTTTTTAAATATAATTAAAACATTCTAGTTTTTAGTTAATAATAAAAATAATAATTTATTTTTGTATGTAAATATATTTCTTGATTCTCGCATGTACCAATAATTAGGAGAAAATCTGTGTAATTAATTCGAAAAAAAAAATGGTGAACAAACACGCTTTCCTCGAAAATGAAAGTGAAACGGAAACATAGGCGCGCCATTTTGATAAGAAATTAAAATTCAATTTACACTCGTGCCATTTTATTCAGTGTTGTCTTCTCAGATGACAAAACATTGCCAACCGGTACGACGTCGGTTTAGAGACATAGTAATGTGTTTTAAAAAATGTCCTCGTCGTCGATTTAGTGACATAGTAATGTGTCTTAAGAAATGTCCACGACGTCGGTTTAGAGGCATAGTAATGTGTCTTAAAAAATATCCACGTCTTCGATTTTTGAGGCCACAAAGGTTGTACGCTCTTTTTCTATCCTTCTCTCTCTTTCTCTCTCTCTTAAGAGAAAAACAACAAAAAGCCTCTACATAAGTGCGGAATGAGCTGTTTAAGACGAGCGACTGGTCAACTAAAGGGACGACATTCGAATCCAGCTATTGAAAAAAAAGTGTTGTTGGTGGCATATCCATCAACAAATATTTGGTCCCCCGGTTAATAAATTGGTCAGCCCATCAGGCGAAACTTTCCGTCTTCAACATGCAGCTTTCAATAGCTGGCAAAATTAGAACGCGCCAGATGTGGACCGACTGTGTTCGATGTTGAGGACATCATCACAAAAGAAGAATCGGAAATAATAATGTAGAGGCAGACAGAAGAAGAATGTAAAATAATAAGGCAGAGACAAACTGAAGAAAAATGGACAATAGAAGAATAATTGGCAATAACAGGATAGAGGCAGAGAGAAGACTGTGGGAAAAATAATGAGGTAGAGGCAGACAGAAGAAGAATGGGAAATAACAAATCCAAGCGATTAAATGAACATAGGGATGTCATTCTAGCATTAAATTAATCTGGAAAGTTTAACAAGACAAGATATAACACACTTATATGTTTGAGAAGTGACCGTGAATATCTAAAGTACTTATTAAAGTATTTATTAGTGTTATTTTTTTATTATTTTTTTTAAAAACAGGTATTTCTTAATTTGTGTCACAAGGATTATCTTTTCCTTATTTTTTTAAAACATTGAGAAAAAATAAAAATAAAAATTATGAAAAGTTCATTGTCTCCAAACTATTTATTTCTAGCATCGCTAAAGTACTGACTTTTTTAATCGTGATAGCTAGTATTTATAATAATGTTTCTACATTTTATTGACAACTTCCTTAATTAATGTCAAATTATCATAAAGTTTGTTCAATATGAAATGGGTAACGTCAAAGTGCTAGTTATCTTAAAAATTGCTAAAATTTTGATAAAAATTACATTGCAAATTATGAATTACAATTAGATGAGAAAGATTTGAAAAAAAAAACCTGGAAGTATTGATTAAATTTTTTATCATTTTTGTTTTGATTTTAATTAATTTCAATAACTGGATTTTTTCCATGACAACGGCATTATACTTAGTATTGATATTTTAAATTAAAAAGGCCTTGATCACATGACTTATCATGTGTGCAATTTATTAGATTATAACATTATGCACGAGACCAAGCAGTAACGTAGATTAACTTAATCAGCAATCATTTAATTTCTTTTAATGTTTCGATCATATTTAAGACGAAATTAATTAATAATAACCATTCAATCAGTTTAAAATCTTATATGAGTTCAACACCGTAGTTTGTCACTAAAATATTGTATTGTGAGGCTTAAATAATCTTGTGTACTTACCAACGATCAATGCAAACAGCAGATGAAAACAGGACCGTAACATCTTCATGTTATTCATAGAGGTCCAGTCACTAAAATCGCTTTTTTTTTTTGTGTGAATGACTAGAAAAGAAGCCGAGTATAAGACTACAAAGAGAGATGTCACGTGACAATGTCTAATTACTTTGAGCACAGCCGCCATCTCATTGATAATTGATGAATGAGAAATGACGCTTTAAGCAAAAAACAAAAAAACAAAACCATTGTTAGACAAAAACAAATGGCGAGAACTTTATTAAAAAATTATCTGTACTATTACTTTGAATTGAAAATCAATATTGACCCTGGTGTTGCCTAAGATCGACAATGGTTCTCAAATATTGTCAGAGGTATATCTCAATAAAAAAAATAATAAAAAAAACATAAAAAATCATAGTTTACTGATTGAGAATATGGGTATATGTGATAAATAATTCAAGTATGGCAAACATCATAGTTGTATTATTAAAAAGAATTGAAGATTTTCATAGAAGTTAAGCTGAACAAATTATTTATGTCTTTAATCATTGATCACTAATCCATTTTTTAAGGAGTTAATTATAAAGTATACTTTTATTTTGCGAAATATAATTTAGTGATACCATCTTTGTATCTGTCACAGATCAAATGTTGAGATAATAATTTTGTTTCGGATAAAGCATTGTTGTTTGATAAGTTGGAAAGAACGGGAAGTCCAATGGATATTGTGTTGAATACGCAGAGAGGCATGTGGACGACTTTGAATTGGGATTCTGTGCATTTATTATCGGCTTGTATATCAAACATCATCTCAATGTCGACTCAACTGATCTGTGTGGAATAAGTTATCTGACAACCACGTAAGGCTCTATTTTCTAGAAGATATTATTTCATGCCGTGTGTATAGATATTCAGTTAATAAATATGTGTGATACGAAATTCATGAAGTTCTGGCCTTCATGCTTTTTAGATAATCATGGACGTTTGTGAAGGTGGATAAATAATACAAGCAATAATTAATTACATGTAACAAGTAACGTTATCATGCAAACATTACAGTATATCTATTGTTTTTATTGTTTTATTATCGTTCGCTGTTTCTTAGCATCTTAACGTCCCACACAAAAAGGACAAGCCAAAATAACAGGGCAAGTTGTGAAAATGCAAGACAGCTGGCTTTCCAAATCAAATAATCTTCGGTGAACTCTATAGTTGGAAACGTTCAGCTGGTGGGCAGAATAAAACGCATCAAGGACTGTCTAATACCATCACTCAAAATCCATGAACATCGACCTTGATTTGTGGGAAACACCTGCCATGGACCCCGCTAGCTGGCGTGGTAGACCCACTGTCGGAGCACAAGCATCAGAGAATGAGCGAATCGCTCGCGCTCCAAAGAAAGCGCACTTCTTAGGACAAGCAGATTCTAATCAAATTCTACTAGGACCCAGGACAACATTTGTCCCTTTTACGGGAAAGCTTTCCAGGCACACATAGGACTGTCAGGCCAGCGGCGTACTCACCGTGTAATAAAGCCTTGCGGGTCATCTTCGCATGGGAAGGAGGAAACAAAAACAATAACAATACCTCAAAAGTTAAAATTGAACTACAATCACTTTGTAGTTGTTTTCATTATACAAGCTATGAATTATTGCTTAATAAATTTTCTCTTTAAAAGATTTATCATTTCTTAGTTGTTTTTAGTTGGGTTTTTTTTTTAAATTCTACTTATAAAAATGATAAAAATTAGTTTAAAACTGTTTCATCTTGTGAAGCCTCAAATACTCGTGTGTACTTACCAAAGATCAATGCAAACAGCAGATGAAAACATGACCGTAAAATCTTCCTCTTATTCATAAAGGTCCAGTCGCTAAATTCTCAACCCTTAGCATAGATTAATAAGACACGAACAGTTTATATCAATATAACAATATAAGATAAGCTTTCATAATAATTTTACATAATAAACAAGTCTACTTTTCGGCACATGCCTTAGCAGACAATAATTTTACATAAGGAAAATTAATTTTAAATCTATGTTCTTTTCAGTTTGCAGGACGAACCGTGTTTTTACTGCAGTTCTTAAACGTGTATGAAATAGTCGAAAATGTTTCCCTTGCTTTACTTTTTTTTTAATTGGTCTTATTTTAAAAATTGATGGTGGCATAGATATGGTACATTATTATTACAAGCCCTTTCTTTATAGGTCCACGGTTTTCTGACTTTCGAATAATTAATTTTTTTTGAGGAAACGTGATAATCTCAATAAGTAATCGTACTCATTTCATTAAGCCAAATAATGTATTGTGAAATCAATCATTCCCATAGATTAGGACTAACATTTCTTCTATTCAACGAATTAGTTTCATGAAACGTATGCAAAGGAGTTTCAGAGCGATGTGTACAGTTCTAGAGCGATGTGTACAGTTCTAGAGCGATGTGTACAGTTCTAGAGCGATGTGTACAGTTCTAGAGCGATGTGTACAGTTCTAGAGCGATGTGTACAGTTCTAGAGCGATGTGTACAGTTCTAGAGCGATGTGTACAGTTCTAGAGCGATGTGTACAGTTCTAGAGCGATGTGTACAGTTCTAGAGCGATGTGTACAGTTCTAGAGCGATGTGTACAGTTCTAGAGCGATGTGTACAGTTCTAGAGCGATGTGTACAGTTCTAGAGCGATGTGTACAGTTCTAGAGCGATGTGTACAGTTCTAGAGCGATGTGTACAGTTCCAGAGCGATGTGTACAGTTCCAGAGCGATGTGTACAGTTCTAGAGCGATGTGTACAGTTCTAGAGCGATGTGTACAGTTCTAGAGCGATGTGTACAGTTCTAGAACGATGTGTACAGTTCTAGAGCGATGTGTACAGTTCTAGAGCGATGTGTACAGTTCTAGAGCGATGTGTACAGTTCTAGAGCGATGTGTACTGTTCTAGGGCAAGTACACCGGAGCCATCGGTCGATGCTATTAAAAAAAGAACTGTATTTGTTCAAACTGTTTTTTGATTGGCTGCTGCAAAACAAACCCCCTCCCCTATAAACTTCGCTCCAGTTTGCATCAAGGTCGGCATTTGTTTCACTAACAATAGTTGTGTGCGGTTCCTTGCATATATTGCTGCACGGCATTCTGGGCCCACATGTATGATCTAATGCATAGAGTTACTTTATATAAGATTTGACCTTGGAGGATTTAATTATGTTTTTATTAAAAAAATTCATTATTATATTTTATTGATGTATTTGTGAGAGATTCCGGATATGTTTTTGAAAGGAGACTGACCGAGACACAAAGAGAGTTTGTGTGTGTGTGTGAGAGAGAGAGAGAGAGGTAGAGAGAGAAACAAAGAGTGGGAGACTGGGGGAGAGTTAGACAAAGAGATCCAGATACCTTGCTTCTTGAAATCTCTGTATGAAAGTAAAGAGTGCCTTCAACATTTCTAAACACAAATCGTATTTAAATATCCTAGATGAACTCTGAGGTGAGAACAGCCTCTATGACGTAACTTCCTTGTTTTTTTTAAATATTCCATTTCAAATGACAATGTTGCTCAATAATAATTATGCTTTTATATTTCATTACTTCATGGAAGTATCATATATCCCTTAAGTTTGCATTTAAGATATGAGGGTCATGAAATAGGCCGCGAAAAAGTAATTCAATCCATTATAAAAACTCTCGAGCGAGTGAATCTTTTCCACCAGAAACTTATTGCTCCCATCCACTGCTTCCCCCCAGGGTTCACACTAAATGCAAACAAACGAATACACTCGTCACCCATCGTTCATTGGCAACTTACAACTCATGCCTAAAAGATAGAGGGAATGACGTTCAATACAACTCATCATTGGTGGATATATCGAGCACCATCTGACAGCTTATGCACTAGGGACTGGCCAAATTTCGGTTTCGTTATCGGTGCCGAAAGTTGCCACGTGATCATTTTTTGCCGTAGATTAACTTTCGGTTGTTTTTCGGTTTTACAGATACTTTAAATGATAATTTGACACATAACATTGACGGATATATTTATGCTTAACTTCTGAAGATGCCAAGGACATACTTTTTTGTTTCTTTCAGAGTCCTCTAAACTTAAGCAATGTGACCGTATTAAAACCCCCCTCTCCATTAGTTTTTTAATTTTTTTAAAAATAGAATAAAAATCATCCAAAGAATCTTAGACCCTTCACACACAACCACACATTTTTTGCACTTCTTTGAACTTAATTAAAATTCTAAAGTCCGTGATCCCTTTTACCACAAATCGTTTTAGATTTTCTAAAAAAAAATTAGCCCTGCATAATCCAGTATATTGAAAGATTAGGGTTCTTTTTTTTTAAATTAATATCTATGACAAGTTCAAATATGTAACACCATTGGGTTTTGTGATATTGATACCAAAATGAGCCATTTTTATTTTTTATTTTTTATTTTTTTTTTTTTTTTTTTTTTTTTTTGCATGAGTGATAAGTGAATTAACTGAATTAGTGAGTGATATTTGGCTATGAAATTTCACTACAGTAATTCACAAAGCATGTTGTTATTAAAATAATTTTAAATGTAAGTTTTTTGAAAGAAGCAGATTTTTAAAAAAAAATAATCATAATAATTAGAAACGTATTAAATGTTACAAATACAAGAGCTAAAATGTGGTGCGTTGTATTCATTTGAAAAAGAAATCAATTATATTTATTCATTTTAATTTTTAAAAGTGGAAACTAATCAGTTTCAATAAACGCGGTTATTAGATCTAAGAGACTTTAAGCTTTCGATTGGCAAATTTAAATTTAGCTCCAATGAAATTAATATATTATTTTTCATTTGAATTCCGTCTAAAACTTTACTTAGATTTTATTGCAAGTAATTTAGATAATATTAATTTAAATTTAATTGGGCAAAATTGAGAACGCACTAAAGTACAGATTTTTTGGTTTCCCCATTAATTTAATTATGATTTAGCAAAAACACAATTTTTTTTAAAGATAATTTATTTATAAAAAAATCATTTCTTTCAAATTCTAATAAACCATTAAGTGTAATTTTAAATGTATTTGTAATTTATGATAATAATATTTGCATATGTACTAAAATAAAAGAGGGCGCATTTTATTTTTTATCACATTTAAATGTATTCGATTTTCGGAAAATAACAGACAATCACTAGCGTTCATTTAAAGAATCCGAACGTATTTAAATTGATTTTTTTTCAAGCTGTCGATGGTGAATAAGCTCATTCTTATATTTATATATTGTAGGGGGTTGGGGGTGAAATATGTTCGGTTGTGAGCCTTGAAGGAGGGAGAACCAAATATTTTTTTTTTAATTAAGTGCGATATTTGTATGCATGTTGTAAAATTTTCAGCCCCACCACGCAAATGCATAACATTATAATTTGAAAGGATTTATTTAAAAATAAAATGTTTTTTTTCTAGGGGCTGTTAAATAAAGATAGTCCTTTAGCGCATTTATCTGGTATTTATTTCCTGAAATCAGCGCCGTCTTGTGGCGTTAGTGACGTTGTTACTTAGAGACGTATGTATGTTTACAGGATTTGAGCCCCCTCTTCAATCTAGTGTATATACTTTATTCTTGATAATTGTTATTAAAAATCTACATTTTTTTTTTGAGGTAAGCATACGGTAATTAAAATATTTGCTTCTTTGACCTGTGTAATGTAGTAATGGCAGACTGATATTCTACATGTGTATTTTAAGTAAGATAATTTGAGGTTCTACCTGTGTAATGCCAGCATGACATTCTCATATGTTACCTGTGAGTTGTAAGCGAGACAATTAGATGTTTGACCTGTGTAAGTAAGCCATTGTGACTTCCTACCTGTGGGCGATAAAAACTAAACAGTGGATTTTCGCATTCATTATTTTCAACAACAAATATATATTTGGCGTTTAGAAGTTAAAAGCCTTGTTTATTTAGTGCTATCTATTGAAGATAGACAACCTATATGTTTATAAACATTAAGATAAATTTATGAATTATCTCACCCTTTAACAAATATTCCTCTGACTGATAGTGATAAAAGTTTAGTAGTTGCAAGTTTTGAAAAATAGTTTTAGTAAGAATGGAGAGTTATTAATATAATATTTGGGCAAGTTGTCATCAATGAAATAAGGTCAAAGAATGATATTTTAATGAAAGACATGAAATACTAACAGAAATAAAATGAAAGAATATCGGCAAGTAACAGGAAATATTTCAGTAGTCACAAAATAGTGAAAAGTAAAAGCATTACAAGAAAAATAAAGGAATTATATATGAAACATTATCAGAACAAGCATATCATATGCAAGTGAAACTTGGCTATTACACAAATGGGAGAGAAAAACTGTCTGGAAAATATACTGACCAACAAAGGATGAATGTGGATGGAGAATACGAAACTAACAGGAATTGTATAGATTAGGCTAGGATCGCCCGCTAGTAGCAGTATTAAAGAAGAGCAGGCTATGCTGGGCTGGACACTTAGAAATAATGCCAAATGACAGAGGGGTGAAGAATGTGCACCGCCCAAACCCCAGGGGAAATCGGCTCAAAGGCAGACAGACCTAGGCTTAGATGGATGGATGAAGTGGGAAAAAGATCTACAGGAACTGGGAGTCCAAGCATTGAAAAGAAAAGCATCAGTTTGGTCTGAGTGGAAGGAAGTGTTGAGGCAATCCAAAAGTCCTACGGGGGCTGTGGCGCCACAGGGAAGGAAGTGTTCAGGCAATCCAAAGTCCTACGGGGGCTGTGGCGCCACAGGGAAGGAAGCAAAAGAAATCCATTTAGTTTATAACGGTTGTTTTTTTTAGATTAATACGATGAAGCTTGCTTGTGACGCCACTGAAAGAGTTAGTTGTGATGATTGTTATTTTTCATAAAACCTAGCAGTTCTGTGGAGTGGTTAGTATGGAAAGTTAATGATTGGGCTCATTGTTGAGAAGTTGGAAGCGAAGTCTTATTAGAAATAGTTTAAATTATTAAAAATCAGTGCTTAAAATAATTTCACTTGCCTTTTCTAAAATATTCATACCTTTTCATGTGTCTGAGATTGCATAAATGCAGATGTGTCATTAAAGTACTGTTTGGTTTGCACTGTTCAGACGTAACAATGAATATGAACAAAAAACTAATAATATGTTAGTTATTTTAATTAGAATTTGGTAATTATAATCAAATTACAATTTCCTCCCTGAAATTCTTAAACTTTACAGATCAGCGTTTCACAATTTTTGTTTAGTTTGGCCGACCGGTGGACACGTTCTGAAATTGCATCAAGGACCGATGCCAGATTGATCAATTACAAAAAATTTCCATTTATTTGAAAACAAATATTCATGTCGTGCGGACTGGCAAGGTAAGGCTCGCGGACAGGCGCCGGTCCACGGATCACCATTTGAGAAACACTGTTAAAGTTGCTCTCTTTGCAAATGATTTCGTGATAGATTTAAATAATTTTAAATCAGCTTCTACCAAGGTAAGGTTCTTTTCTATTGAAGGATTTAAAACAAACGTCTGCTGTTTTGTTTCGTCATCTTTCTCCGGAGCTTTCCCCATTTGATCCGTGTTTTATATTTGTTATTTTTTTTACTACTAAATTCACCTTTTAAAAAATATCACAATTTCTTAATAAAAAATGTTATGGTAAAAGGGCAGAGGCATTTCACAGACGTAACCGTAGCGTATCGAGCACTTGTCGTCGTTGAGCATCTTATTTACATAATAGTACTGGACACAGTGTTCGTTTCCCCCGGCGTTGTTGGGCTCACCGGGGGCGAAGACAGACTTCAAGGTTTCATTCGTCAACGTTGAAAAATCAAGTTTCCACGTGAAGGATCCTTGCTTTCCCAGATCGTCGGCTCCGACCCAGGCCATGTTTCCTATCACCAGACTTCTCACGATTGTCAGCTTGTCGAAGGTCTTGACGGATGTGAGAACCGCTCCTTTGGCCTGGCACGCCTCGTGCGCCTGCGTGTAATTCAGCCAGACGACCTGGTAGTTGGCGAGGCACGCCAGAGCCGAGCCGTTAAACATCAGACGGAAGCCCTTGCTGATATCGCACGGGATCTTGTAGTAGAGATCCCCTTCCTGTGAGGTCGGTGGCGCCGATATGTTGTACACAGTGGATGCCGGTGTACATAGGTGGGTTGTCCTGTTGTACATAAAACTCCAACAGCCGGCGCAGCGTTGCATGCAGGATATACTACATGAAATGGACGATGAAGCTATCCAGCCAGGACCAAGTCTTGCTGGGGCAAAGTCTGGAGTAGGATCAATTTTGAAGAGGTATCTGCCATTATTTATTACTGCAGATGGAGTTTGGGCAGTCACATCAAGGATTTGATCTGTTTGTTTTTTTTAAATGGAGTCAATTTTTATGAAGCTTATCGGCAATAAAATTAACTAAAATGTTTCGTTAACAATTTTTCATTAGCTGACTGAACAAAATTTTTTTAACAATTAGCACTTACTATTTTAAAAAAATTAAAATGTTAATCAACAATTATTTTATTTGAAATGTCAATATATTTATTGATGCTTGCTTGTAACAATAATCAAGGGATCAGCTGTATCATAAACCTCAATAAGTGACCACACTCGGAGGCAATGAAGCGTGATAAGGGAATTGTTGGCCAGTCAACCAGTATTTGGCCAGTCGGTTAAGAAATTGGTTTACCCATCCGTGGATATGGCCTGTCAACCAAACTGCACTGAAATCCTTTCAAAAGCTGGCAGAGTTAGCACAAGCCGGGGGTTGTCCGACTATTAAGCTGTTAAGGTCAGCTTTACAGTCAACAGAATCTTCAGAGGTGCTGACCCCATGTGACAGTTGGCAACAGTAGAGGCAGACAAAAGAAGAGTAAGCAACAATGAGGTAGAGGCAAAGAGAAGAAAAGTGACAAAGATAAGGCAGAGGCAGACAGAAGAAGAATGGGAAATGACAAATTCATACGATTTAAATCAGACATTGTCATTCTAACATTAATTTATTTGGAAGATTTAATAAGACAAGATATAACAAAAAAAGTGTTTGACAAGTGACCGAGTATGTACCAAGTTGATCGTTGGTCCTCGAAATATAGAAGAACAAAAAGTTCTTATAACTAAATTGCTAGATTTCTTTTTTGAAAAAATGTAATATGGAATCATTTCTTTTTGAAAAAATGTAATATGGAATCATTTCTTTTTGAAAAAATGTAATATGGAATCATTTCTTTTTGAAAAAATGTAATATGGAATCATTTCTTTTTGAAAAAATGTAATATGGAATCATTTCTTTTTGAAAAAATGTAATATGGAATCATTTCTTTTTGAAAAAATGTAATATGGAATCATTTCTTTTTGAAAAAATGTAATATGGAATCATTTCTTTTTTCATTTAAAAAAAAAACCCATTGAGAAAAAATTAAAATTAAAATAAGAAAAAAAAAGATTTTCTCCAAACTATTTATTTTTTGCATCTTTAATGTACTGAAATTTTAACGTCCTAGCTTGTATAAGGATTATGTTTCTAAACATTGATTACATTTATTGATTGAATGTCAAAATGTCATAAAGTATATTAAATATTACATTTGGTGGGGGGGGGGGATTATAGTCATAATTTTAGTTTTTGTGGGCTTAAATTGCTCAACGTTAATATAAAAAATAACATAGCAAAATATTAATCACACTTAGAGGAGAGAGTTTCAATTTTATTTAACAGAAAGTGGTATTCCCTTCTTTTATAAATATATTTAGTGTTCATTATCATTAGTATTATTAACGTGGTCTTATGTAGCGCGGTGCCCCCAGGAAGCCAGGGCTAGGCTCACCGCGATTCACATAAACATTAGGAAAAAGGGGGGGGGGGAATGACATTTAACAAAAAGTTACATATAAATTATGTTATTTTAATTTCATATTTAAAAATTGGAATTTTTTTCCCATGACAACTACAAGACAGTGGGTATCGATATTTTGAAAAAATAGAAATGCCTTGGTCACATGACCAACCATCTCACGTCTGCAAGTTAGTAGATAATAACATTTTCTCCTTGGCTCTAGATTATACACTAACGTAGACTAAATTAATCATCAACTATTTTGTTGCTTTAAATTTCGATTTTTTTTTTCTTTTTAATATTGACAATAACAATTCAATCAGATAAAATATTAATTGAGTTCAACGCCAATATTTGTCACCTAAAACCCGACTTTATTATTCTTGTGTACTTACCCAAGATCACCGCACACGAAAGATGAAGACAAGACCATAACATCTTCCAGTTATTCATGACATTCCGGTCACTGTAAGCGTTTCCTTTGTTGGTGATGACAGAAGAAGCGGCTCACAAGACTACAAAGACAAGATTACATGTAAAATGTCTCTTAACTTGGAGTACAGTTGTCTTCCCATTAGTCCTTAGGAACCCATGACGCTTTGGAAAAAAAATAGCGTCATTAGAAAAAAAACTAACAGTGTACTATGACCTTCAATAAATCCATTGTTTAATTTGGGGGGGGGGTGCCATAGATCAACAACGGTTCTCAAAAAATATCCAAATTTAAAAAAAAAAATAATAACTAGAAATTTTAAAAAGGCGTAGTTTACTGATTGAGAATATGGGTATATGTGATAGGCATCTTTCTTAACATCTTTCTTCGTATGTGATAAGTAATTTCAGGTATGGTAAACTTCGTAGCTGTGTTATTTAATGGAATGATTTTTTTATCCTCTACATATATTTTTCAATGAAGTAAATTTATAATTATATATTTAACGAAAGGGAATTTGAATCAAATTAATTATTTAAATAATAATTGCTTGTCATATCACTGATCAATTTTTTTTAAATCATTGGTCAGAGAGTATATTTTGATTTTCAGAAATAGAATTTAACATTGAAAGCTTTGGTTCCTTCTATTATTTTTTTTTCTTTATTTTTTCATATCTTTTACTGTCTCTTAGCATATGAAAAGAAATTAAATTTGAACTGCAATTAATTTGTAGTTGTTTTCCGAATATCCCGAACGGGCCGATCCTATGTATCTCTGATGAAGAGGGTGGGATGTATCATCCAAAAATTCTTTGGTTTTACAATAACATCTTTCTTGAAATATGTCTTCATGTGAAGGGTATTTTGGTTGTTTTATCTTCCTAGCTTTCTTGATTAGTGGGTTTATAAGGTGTTTATATCTCAGACGATGAATTCCCACACCAGCAGATACTATTGACATTATGTAGGCTTCTAATTGTTGCACTGTAGAATAAGTTAACGACTTGTTGGTTTACTCCGAAATTGTACCGATTTTTGTTTTTAAGTAGAACATTCTTTGGTTGAATTTATAATAAAATATCTAAACAATTATACAAATGTTTGAATAATTTATTTATTATTTTAGTTTAGTCAAATGATCAAAAAAAAACAAATATTTATTAATTCTTAGGTGTTTTGTTTTTAATTAGCATAAACTATCATTATTTTAAAAAAAATTAAAATGATACAATTCGTAAGAGATCGTTTCATTTGCCATTATTTATATCAAATTCTTAAAATTAAAATTAAGTAATCTATATAAGGAAAAGTAATTTCAAATCAATTTTAAATCGATTTTCTTCTATTTTAAAACTATTTCCTGCATAGTTTCCCAGCCGAATGTGGGTTAAATATTAGAACATGTTCTCCTTTTCTTAATCTTTTTTTTTTATTGGACCAAGTTTTATAATTCATGTTTACACAGCCATGACCAAGTATTTGTACAAACATCTTCCTCGCAGTGTCGCGGCTTTCTGCATTTCAATTCAATTTGTTGAGGAGGCGCCATAATCTCAATGAGTTATCCAACTCCTTTAAACCCAATGATCAATCGGGAAATCATCAAACCTTATTAGGCTATATATTGGAACTAATATTTCTTTTTCTCATACAAATAAGTTCGTGAATTTTAAAACAATGTGTACAGTTAGAGAGCAAATACCAAGGAAAAAAAACAAGGAACTATCAGTCGATACTACTAAAAAAAAGTACTTTACTTGTTCAAAATATTTTTGATCATTATGGGTTGGGCAAAACTTTTTTTTTTTAAATGCTGAACTCTATGAAAACCTTGCTCTACTTTCACTAAGGTCAAAATTTATTTGGCATTAAGTTCTGGAAATTTATAATCTATTCTCTTTATTAATTTTGGAACAGGTAAGTGGTCAAGTTGAAGGGCAAATTATTTTGTAAAATGTATAGCTCAATAAATATTAAAACTATTTTAAAATCTACTGGACAATTTATTTTGAATTTTTTTTTTTTATTTCAATACCCATGTAGTAAAGAAGGGTAATCCTGAATTGGGGTACACGCGCCCTAGGAAAATCAAAAGAATGTTTTAAGGGCCGCCTTGGAAAAACAAAAAAAATAAAATTAATAATGATACCCATGTTTGTAATGATAATGACAAACGATCAGTAACCAATAATGTCATCAGTTAACATTAAATAACAAACAACTGTAATCGTACAAATTCTCGTTCAGGTCTCACCAACTAACCCAATGATAGGCATTTCTGTTCAGGTCTCACCAACTAACCCAATGATAGACATTTCTGTTCAGGTCTCACCAACTAACCCAATGATAGACATTTCTGTTCAGGTCTCACCAACTAACCCAATGATAGACATTTCTGTTCAGGTCTCACCAACTAACCCAATGCTAGAAATTTCTGTTCAGGTCTCACCAACTAACCCAATGATAGACATTTCTGTTCAGGTCTCACCAACTAACCCAATGCTAGACATTTCTGTTCAGGTCTCACCAACTAACCCAATGCTAGACATTTCTGTTCAGGTCTCACCAACTAACCCAATGAAAGACATTTCTGTTCGATCTCTTCCATAAATAACTCCACCGAATTCTTGGCCCACATTGCCGTTGACGTAATGCATTTTAAGGCTTCATATAAGATGTAACCATTAGAGGGTTTTTTTAATGCTTTAAAAAAAAAAAAAATTT